GTGAGATGTGCGTGAATGTAAACCTCTATTAGAATTGTAAGAGTCATATTTGGCCCACTGCACCACAGAGATGTGTGGTTCTCCATAATTACTTTTTCAACTTTATCAAACTTTTAAAAATAAATTTGCATTTTAATTTCGATGTAGGGGAAAGTAACATTATTCCCGCTATGACTTCTCTGGCTGTTTTTTTTTTTTAAACTTTTTTTTTTTTATCCATTTGTCAAGGAAGCTGTTGCTTCCTTTATCTCATCTTAAAATGGCTTCAGAAAATGACTTAGAGGGGATAAAAGATCCTCTGGGTGCAGATAAAAGTCAGCATCCTACATACAATTGTACTCGGAATTTTGAACACCACGCCTGAAACTGTCTCACCCACTCCATTTTCACATTAATTAATCTCAGGCTCCAAAGTGCACACTGGGAAAAGCCCTCACAGCTCCGAGCCTTCATATCTCAGGCTTGCATTACAGAGAGTTCACGTCTGCCGCTCATAACTTTTCCAGTCAGCTAATAGGGATGAAAGAATAAACAAGGCACCTTTAAAAAAAGGAGAATTAAAAAAAAGACAAAAATTCCTCACCCTCAGCCATATTCTTTTTGCCATCCATCATTGGCCGGAGTGGGGAGGACAAAGACAAATGCAGCCGGCTAGATTCTGGGCAGAAAATGAGAAAGATGACCCCGCTGGACTCTGCTGCTGCATTTTATTATCTCACACAGTCTATTCATTCAATACCTTTGGAATACCAAAGCCCAAAAACACTCCATCATCCTGGTGCGTAGCTCTCTGTTTACCACACCGAGGTGGCCAGAACCACAAGGAAAAGATGACAATGGAGATAATGTCATTGATGCTGATGTTACAGGGAAGAAGACTAAAGTAGTGGTGCGGGGAATCTGTATTCACGTGACTCACAGTCTCCATTTTAGGTTCCTGCAGTGAAGATGTTATTGTTTTGTTAATCTCTGTCGTTTTAGGTGAAGGTCCAGATTTCTCACTAATTACAGACTGAAATAATGTCATTGTCACATTATTAAAAATGAACTTTTTTTTCTCAATGCAAATGTTTGAAGGTAGGTGTTTCACCGACTTCATATAAATACAGATGAAGATATTTGTTGTCTTAAGTCATATTTTGTAAGAATGGAGGAATGCTCAGTACTCTGCTAGCTTCAGAATTCAAACATCTCAATATGTCAGGGTTGTCTTTATCAGATAGTGATATCAGTTTTGTAAATGTAATGGAAAATTAAAAGCATGACTTTTGAGATGGTCGTCCTTTAGTCCAATGGTTGCCCGTGACAACGACAGACGTCTGCTTTTGCGTTTTCTTCTAAATTTTTCCTTCACTCTTTTAATTTGAACAAATCACATTTGTCATATTCTATAAAATAGATGTCTTTAAAAAGCTCCTAACACATAAACTTGTTTGTTGTGTACGGTACAGCCTAAGGTTAGGTCACAGCTTAACCTTTTAATTAGTGTTTATTTTGATTTCACCCATTTAAATTTAGCATGTTAATGACATACTTTATTTGACATTGTACCAGTAATGGCATCACGGTCCACTCCTTCCTCTTATTGAGTTTGACACTGTGGAGTCCTGGCACCACAAGGCCTCGGTTGCCGGCACTGCAGGGGCGCAGTAAGGCTGAGTAAACCTGAGAAATCGCGTGGCATTGGCCCCACTGCAATGTGGCATGGCTCATTAGGTCTGCAGGTATGGATCAGAGTGAGGAATGACTGCAGTCTTTCACAGCTGACCAGCTTCTCACTCTCTCTCCCTCACCCATGCTATCTTTTCGTACTTTTCCTCCGACTGCCCGCGCGCTTTTCCCTACTTTTATTCCCCAGCGGCCTTTCTCCCGGGAACCGACCAAACGTCCTGCTATCTCCTTCTCTCTCACCTGTACTCTCACATCCCTGAGTCAGTCAAACTGGCAACCCGTCCTCTGGAATAATGTATGCAAGCATCTAAGTCTGTCCCAAAATCGACCTCTATGTAAAAAAAATGTCATTTCAGTGTCAGTAAGTTTTTGTTTTACATATCCCCAGTAGACTCTGGCTCACTGGCTGTGTTTCTGACCTCCACCTCTACGTAGCAGAGACATTTGGAGGCGAACCATGTGTTTGGAAAGATGTGGAGCCTCGACAGTGGTTTAATAAAGTTTGGCATCAAAATGGGAACTTTGGCTGTAGTTAAGTAAACATTTACACACATACTTTTTTTTTATTAAATATTCACATAAAGTAAAAATAGAAAATGAATAACAAGTAATAAAAATGCAAATGGTTTAATTGTTTTCTTTCATAATTTTGTCAAGTAAACATTAAATTTACTTGACAAACGGCCTGGCTGCAGGTGACGTTTAAATCAAGGCGACGGGTTCTATCAAGCTTAATAGGTGTGGGGTTTACTACAGTGACAAGATATTCCATCAGAGACGAAACTTGTGTTTTATGTCTAACTTTTTTTGGTTCGATCCACCGTCATCTAGTAGATTCTCACGTTGGTGTCAAGACAGCGTACTGTTTTGAGAGATTTG